ATTTGAAATATTATCACATAAGAATCGAAAGGTTGGGAAATAAATTATATTTTAAATTAAATTAAAGGATGTTTTTGCTCTGAGTTCAAAATAATTACTTAAAAGAAGATTACTTACAGGAGTAGTGATAGAGTGATGAACAATCTTTCGTTTGTGTTCATTATGTGCTGGAGACAGACCCCAGTGTGCCAGCGCGGATGATGACGGTGATGAGTAGGACGCCAGTTGATACAGAAGGCCTATGCTTGGGACAGGCTTGATGTTGATTTTCTTGATGCACTTTCACTTTGTTTATACTTTTAATTTTTTTTAATTATTTTCACTTTTGATTTAATTGCACTTGTTAGAGTTCACTTTATTAATTCTTGAATAATATTATTCTTCGGAAATGTATTCGGGTAGGATTTTCGTATCCAACCGCTGCCACCAATATTATAGGGGATACACACGATCACTTTTAACTGTCAGTTTTGACTAACCAGTTTTAACTGACAGTGAAAACTGACGTCCTTTGCACCCACACACGTTCACTTTTAACTGTTCGCTTTGACCACAAGCAACATTACCATCTCAGGATGTCATCACCCGACGACGACGCTTTAGCCGTGCTTGGTTTATTATTAATTTTAAAACATAAAAATAAAAAAATATACGCAAAGAGTGGTGTAAAGAGTGGTTAAAAAAAAGGAAAATTTATTCCCATGTTAATTTATTAACCGAACTAAAAATTGTTTCGAAGGATTGGCACAACTATCTCAGAATGAGTGAAGAAATATACCTCAATCTACTCTCTCTAGTGTCTCCACTGATTAGAAGAAAGGATACAGTTATGAGAAATGCTATTTCGCCACATGAGAGATTAACAGCAACATTACGATTTCTAGCAACAGGACGGAGCTATGAAGATTTAAAGTTTTCCACAATTATTTCACCTGAAGCCCTCAGCAGCATAATACCAGACACATCTGAGGCTTTATTCAAAGTACTTTGCCCAGATTTTTTAAAGGTAAGAAAACTTAGAACATTTATGAATTGCTTTTATTATTTGTTATTAAGAAAATTATCAAGAGATGACTTAAAAAAATTAAACTGAATGCGGTTTAGAGGCCTACGATTCATTTTGCATGTACTGAGATAAAAATAAAGCTGCAGTGTGTAAAGGTATAGACATTTCAGGGATTGAAATTTGTACCGCTCCTGTATTTTTGTCTAAAAGGTATGGCTGAAGTATGCTCTGTGATTCTGCAGCGTTTGAATTTATTTGTTGTATTGATACTCGATCCAATATTTTGTGGTCAATAATCAATTTATCCATTTCAGCTAAGAATAGAGCTTCGTTTATAATACCTTCGGCTAAAATGCGCTGTTCTTTAGGAAGATCACGCAACTTCATTGCCACGTTTTTCCCAAAAATATCGAAACGATCATCCCGCTGTACGGGACGTTTAAAATGATCCTGTACAGTTAATAAAACGTCATTGGTTAAAGTTTGATTGAGATTCCTTTTTGTCGGTCTCGGATGGTGAGGTGGTGACGACGATGATGCTGAATTTCCTGTGTCAGATTCAGATTGGTTTGAAGCCAGAGATGAACCTGGTCTAGAGTCTTCATTCTGTAACAATAATACATACACAATTAATAATATAATAATATATAATGTTTTATTTTCAGTTTCCCAACACAGACCAAGATTGGAAAAATATTGCCTTAGGAGCAATAGATGGAAAGCATGTTTCAATTGCTTTACCCCCTGGATGTGGATCAGAATTTTATAATTATAAAAGCCGACATAACATGGTTTTAATGGCTATTGTGGATGCTCAATACAAGTTCATTTTGTGTGATTTTGGCACAAATGGAAGAATTTCAGATGGTGGAGTATTACGATACACTGTATTTTTCGAAAAACATCAAGACAGTAAATTAAACATCCCAGCCGCCGAACTAGTCAAAAATGGCAACAGAAGTTTACCTTACGTATTTGTTGTTGATGATGCGTTTCCATTGAGAACAGACATGATTAAACCATTTAGACAAGCAGATCTTAATACTTATGAGAAAAAAAAATATAATTATCGAGTATCAAGAGCAAGGAGAATTGTTGAGAACGCTTTTGGGATTTTAGCGTCTCGGTTCCGAATATTACACACAGAAATAAACATTGAACCAAAAAATATTGATTCCGTTAAAATGGCATGTTGTGCTCTACACAATTACTTAACTGAAACAAACCAAGCTAGTTACAGTCCTCCTGAAATTCTTGATAGGGATTATTTTTGATAACGGAACAATTATACAGGGAGTGACTTCGGCAGATTCGGAAATGATAGATTTAGATAGAAGATACCAAGGAAATATAACAAATGCAGCCAAGAAAACAAGGGAAGATTTTATGAACTATTGCGTGAATGAAGGACAAGTTCCACGGCAGGATAATTTTATTCGTTAATGTTTTTATAATAGTCTAATATCAATAAACTAAATAATAAAATAAACAATAATAGTATTTATTTACTCACGTCATTCGTTTCTTCATCATCCTTGGAAATATTTGATCTTGAGGATCGTAGTACTTCTTGGTCGGTGAGAAATTGTAGCAAATCGTAATACCATAACTTTGGTATATAAATATCATCCTTACCAGATCCTGATCTTTGTGACGATTTGACTTTCGAAACTTCTTTTTTGAACGTGCAACGAAGTGTGTTAATTTTACTTTTCACTGTATAGTTGCCGTAGAGTCAATTTCTTTAATTTTTTTCTAATAATACCTTGTAAGCTGCTGATTTCCTTTCTCGGTCATGGTACTCCTTACTTTTATTCTGCCATAAGCAAGGTTCATTTCTATATAATTCTATAAACTCGACCAACCACAGTCTTTGCGTAATTTTTCTGCGTATGCGAAGAGAACAAACATGTACAGACAAGTTTCTTTTTGGTGATCGCAACACGACTGATAAAACACCGCCTACACACGTACAGTTTTAACTGATCAGTTCCGTCATTTCAGTTAAAAAATATGTATCAACAATATATCATCAGTTTTAACTGATAATAAAAAAACGGACAGTTTTCATCGTACACACACTCAGTTTTCACTGTCAGTTAAAACTGGTCAGTCAAAACTGACAGTTAAAAGTGATCGTGTGTAGCCCCTATTATACGGGACCGAGGATAGAGCTTTTTAAAAGACAATTTTATTTACACAACACAATATAATTGATTAAAATTAACAATAAAGATTTATTAAACTTAGGATTTAGAATAATTGGGACTTAGAATAATATAGTAAAGATTTAGTAAAGATGTAGTAACAACTTGGTAACGATGTATGAATGAGACTGAGACTGAAACGAGACTTTTTTTTTATAGGAGAGGGACTACTAAGTGACTACCACCGCCCATGAACAACCGAGACTGACTGTAGATTGTAGATTGTTTCGGCGTTTGTCGGGAGATCGGTTATATAGGCTTTATGTCGCTGACGCAGCAGCGTGAAATAGTTGCGTTAACCGACCTCCTAACATTGACGGGTTATAACAGTACGCACAAAGTATGAAACAATACATATTTTTATTAAAAGTCTTGGTCATATAAAAATGTTACTTATCAATTTTTATTTTCAATTATTATTATAAGTCGATAATAATCATAATTACTGAATAACAATCATTGATTTTCGTGCATTTTGTGAAATGATACACATACGTCATTGTGTCAATATCATAAGTACGTATGTCAAATTAACGTCTAATATTTTCACACATTGACATATTTGTGCTTGTGAAATATATTGATTATGATTATATCACATTTTTGGTTGTACTGATTCCCGCTTTCTTTACCGTTGCAACTTTTCCTGATTTTGCTGACGACTTATGCTTTTATTAATATACGGACTCGATCACGCCTACTTATTGACTTACTGCTAATTACTACGGACATTTTCATAATTGCATCCACGATGTTGAGGTGTACTAATTGTCATCTTTGCGTCGATAGGATGCAGGGGCATTTTGTGTCCTCATTTCGATTTACAATCTTAACTCTTCTTTCAACATGGAGATCTTTGCAACGTACAATATATTTAGTTTTATAGCTTTTTTGTATAGTTGATAATTTATGGTCCTACCGTTGTCGTAAAATTAGTTACTAATCTGTAAATATTTACACCTTCTTTAGGGTGACAAATCAACATCGAGCTATGCTGCGCTGTACTGCGCTGTGTTGTGCTGTGTTTCTTAGGCTACGTTTTTTTAACAATCAACATCAAGCTGTGCTGCGCTTTGCTTAGCTCAGTATAAAAGTAATCAGCAGCTCGTGTAGTAGTTTATCTCGTCAAAAATGACTTTATTTTCAAAAAAACGTAAACATTACGACATAGATGAATCCGATGAAGATGAAAGTGAAGAAGAAGCGGATATGGATATTTTATGTGTTATTTTGTCGTTAAAAGAGTCCAGTCACGGTAGCTTGTTACCACACACCATACGTGAAAAATACGGAGAATTTAATTTTCTAAAGAATATTGCCACTGAAGACGATTTTTCTAAATATTTGCGAATGACTAAAAATCATTTTAATTATTTACATTCGTTAATAAGTCCATATATAAAAAACAAAATTGACTGTAAGAAAGCCATATGCACATAAGAGAAATTAGCAATCTGTTTGAGGTAAGTAAATTATTTGAATGCACAAGATAAGGCAATTTTCTCTTTACATTTTCCCTCGTGTATGTATTAGTAATTAATTTTGTATGTAGAATAATAATTCATAAAAATTTTACATGGTAAGATAGTGAACCTATTTTGACATATCTTTTCAAAACTTTACATGCAATGCGGCAGTACTCTAGTATGTACGTAGTGCGTGCGTGACTTGTCAATATAATAAAACAATGGTAAAAAACGTTCATTAACTTTACTAATGTTACATTATATAAAAAACAAGTACTTAGCAAAACTGAAATTAAAATGGTACCGCTAAGAATTTTTAAATTAATCAATTAGCGAAGTAGCATTGGCCTCCTCTCTTGCATACGGTCTGAACACGGTGTTCCCACCGACTGGAAGGTCATTGGCATCTTGTTCAGCTGTATATCCTCCTACAGATTGATTTGAGGCACTACTTGGAGATGTAAACACATTGTGTAATATATGACAATTGGTATCTGAGGATTGGACACCTTGAGCTGTTGTACACCCTCGAGTACTAGTTAAGGCACTATTATAACTCTCAGATGCATACATATCATTGTAAATGTTTAACTCTTCTTCTTCCGTAACTAAATTAAAAATCTTTCTCTTAAGACGAAGCTGTGCCGGTTTGGGTAATTTTTTTGTACTTTCACAAACACTAAGAAAAAAATGATCCATGTCGTCCATTTTGTCAATTATTTGGTTTCTCAAATCACGTTCTGTTTTTCTTTTCTCTCGGTCTGTTTGCTGGATCTTAACAAAATTTAAAATTTCATGTTGAACACTATGTACACGTTTTCGTGTTAAAGGTGTGCTTGTATTTTGTGATGTGGTTTCGGAACTTGCAGCAGTTATATTAGAAGATTGGCTGTTTTCATTTTCGTTTTCTACTTCAAAGTTGTCCTCGTCCAATTCCTTGTGAATAATAGAATAATTCTTGGGAATAATTTCCAGTTGTGTTCCATTTTGCATATATGCATAACTTTCTGGAATTTCCAAAGACGCGTGTTGTTGGCAGCTTGACCACTTTTTCCATCCTTCTGTCTTTTTAAGGCTTCCCTATGGTTGTCTCGCAATTTTTTCCAAGTATTTTTCGCTACTTTGGCTGTAACAAATAATAAATATATATACATCACTACATAATTATGAAAATTTATTATTAACTTATCACTAAAAATTATGAAATAAGTTTATTAAAAAAATAACAAACCGACTTCAATTCTTCCCCACTAACTAGTCACTAAAAAGTAATGAAATAATTAATTATCTAAGTATGTCAAGAACTAGAACTTTCAATTTAATTCATAGTTTTTTAAATAGAATCAAAGTTCTAGTTCTTGACATACTTAGATAATTAATTATTTCATTACTTTTTAGTGAATAGTTAGTAGGAAAGAATTGAAGTTGCTTATTATAATATTATTTATTAATTCGCAGGTACATGGCTACGACTCGACCTGGCAACATACAACGCACGCTCTCTGAGGACTGACGAGAAGATCGTGGAGCTGAAAGAAGAGATAGACAAGTTGCGCTGGCATATTATAGGATTATCCGAAGTCCGAAGAGAGGGGGAGGACACGGTAATCCTCGAATCCGGCAACTTGCTCTATCACCGGGAGGGCGACCATCTGTCCCAAGGAGGTGTCGGATTTATCGTTCACAAGTCTCTCGTTAACAACGTTGTAAAGATCGGGAGTGTGTCGACGAGGGTTGCGTACCTTATACTCAGAATCACCAAACGGTATTCGCTGAAGGTCATACAGGTTTACGCACCAACCTCGGCACACCCCGATTAGGAGGTGGAGAAAATGTATGAGGTTATCTCTAGAGCCATGCATTCCTCCAAAACCCAATATACGGTGTTAATGGGAGACTTTAATGCAAAACTAGGCACAAGAGAGAACGGTGAGCTGAAAGTAGGGAAATTTGGAATAGGGCAACGGAACCCAAAGGGCCAGCAGCTGGCCGACTTCATGGAGAAAGAGGGACTCTTTATGATGAACTCTTTCTTCCAGAAGCGGCCCCACATGAAGTGGACCTGGTCGAGCCCCGACGGTTCGACAAAAAATGAGATTGACTTCATTATGACGACCAGACGACAACTGTTCAGTGATATCTCCGTGATCGCGAGGGTGAAAACTGGTAGCGATCACCGAATGGTTAGAGGCACACTGAACCTAAACGTTAAGTTGGAGAGGTCTCGTCTAATGAAGTCAACGCTCCGTCCCCCTCGTGCTCTAATCCAAAGTCCCGAAACCTTTCAGCTCGAGTTACAAAACCGTTTTCAGTGCCTAGAAGACTGCAATGAAGTGGACGATATGAATGACAAGCTCGTGGAAACTGTCCATGCGGTCGGAGCTAAGTTCTGCAAGACCCGCCGCAGAAGAACACAAAGACTCTCCGATCACACTCTTAATTTCATGGCTGTTAGACGGGAGATGAAGCTACATTCTTCAACAGACTTGGCAGCATACAGGCATCTGAACAGACAGATCTCCAAATGCATGCGGCGGGACTTACGCAACTTCAATACAGCTCGTATTGAAGAAGCGATCGAGCGGAACCAAGGCTCCAAAGTCTTTGCCAGAGATCTGTCTGCCAGAAAGAGCCAACTGTCAAAGCTGAAGACAGAATGTGGCAGCATCGTTTCCGGGACACCTGAGATTTTGAGTGAGATTGAGAGGTTTTATGGGCAGCTGTACACGTCATCGTTGGAGCCACACGCAAGTGTGAGTAACGATCCAAGAGCGAGTCTCATCCGACACTATTCCGAAGATATCCCGGACGTCAGTCTGAGCGAGATTAGAATGGCTCTCCAACACCTTAAAAACGGTAAGGCCCCAGGCGAGGATGGAATTACTTCGGAGCTTCTGAAAGCGGGTGGAAGACCGGTACTTGAAGTCCTTCAGAAGCTCTTTAATTCCATCCTCCATGGTGGCATTACACCGGAGGCGTGGAGCAGAAGTGCGGTGGTCTTGTTCTTCAAGAAAGGTGACAACGCTCTCTTGAAGAACTACAGACCGATTTCCCTTCTGAGCCGCGTCTGCGTGCTGTTTTCGAGAGTCATTACGCATCGTCTCGCGCGCAGACTTGACGACTTCCAGCCTCCCGAACAAGCCGGTTTCCGAAAGGGCTTTAGCACCATAGACCACATACATACCCTTCGGCAAATTGTACAGAAGTCCGAAGAGTACAATTTGCCACTATGTCTTGCGTATGTGGACTATGAGAAAGCCTTTGATTCCGTCGAAATTTGGGCGGTGCTGCAGTCCCTTCAGCGGTGCCAAGTTGACTGTCGGTATATCGAAGTGTTGAAGTGCTTGTACAGTAGGGCTACGATGGCTATCCGAGTACAGAACCAGAGTACGAAACCTATCCAATTGCAGAGAGGTGTAAGACAGGGTGACGTCATATCCCCGAAACTCTTCACCGCTGCATTGGAAGACGTTTTCAAGCTTCTGGACTGGAAAGGATACGGTATCAACATCAATGGCGAGTACATCACTCACCTTCGATTTGCCGACGATATAGTCCTTATGGCAGAATCGCTGGAGGACCTAAGCACTATGCTCAATGACCTCAATAGTGTTTCCCAACGGATAGGTCTTAAGATGAACATGGACAAAACAAAGATCATGTTTAATGTCCATGTCACACCTATGCCGGTAGTTGTTGGGAGCACTAAGCTCGAAGTTGTTGACGAGTATGTTTACCTGGGACAAATAGTCCGACTAGGTAAGTCCAACTTCGACCGAGAGGTCAATCGACGGATTCAACTCGGTTGGGCAGCGTTCGGGAAATTACGGCACATCTTCTCGTCAGGTATACCTCAAACCTTGAAAACGAGACTGTACACCCAGTGCGTGTTGCCAGTGATGACTTACGGAACTGAGACGTGGTCCTTCACTGCTGGCCGTATGAGGAAGCTCAAGGTCGCTCAGCGAGCTATGGAGAGGGCTATGCTCGGAGTTTCTCTGCGTGATAAACTTAGGAATGAGGATATCCGCAGTAGAACCAGAGTAACGGACATAGCCCAACGGATTAGTAAGCTGAAGTGGCAGTGGGCCGGCCATATAGCTCGAAGAACCGACAACCGATGGGGAAGAAAGGTTCTCGAGTGGCAGCCTCGTACCGGTAGGCGAAGTGTAGGGCGTCCCCCCACGAGATGGAGTGACGACCTGGTACGACATGCAGGAAGTCGATGGATGCAGGTGGCTCAGGACCGTGCTTTGTGGCATTCTTTGGGGGAGGCCTATGTTCAGCAGTGGACTTGTGAAGGGCTGTAATGATGATGATGATGATGACATGGCTACAGGTTCATTTACTACAATTGGTTACAATTTTAAGATAGCGGGCCCTACAGTTTCAAAAATTGTATCCAAAGTTTCCAATGCAATATGGAAGTGTTTACAGCCAATATTTATGAAAGAAATGACTACAGAGTTGTGGCTGGAAAATGAGCTCTATTTCAGGCAGAAATGCAATTTTCCAAATTGTGTAGGCGCTATTGATGGGAAGCATGTTTATACCAAATCACCTCCCAACTTAGGATCAGACTATTTTAACTATAAGAAATCGTTTTCGTTAGTACTACTTGCTGTTGTCGATGCAAGATATAAATTCATTGCAATAGACGATGGATCAAAGGGACGTTTCAGTGATGCAGGAATATTTAGCAACTCTGCATTTGGAAAGAAACTAAAAGATAATTCATTATTTCTACCAGAATCCAAATCTTTAGAAGAAGGTGGTATGGAAATGCCTTTCATATTTGTTGGTGACGAAGCATTTCCACTGCTTCCAAATTTAATGAGACCATACCCTCAATCGCAACTAAATAATCAGAAAAGAATATATAACTATCGTCTAAGCAGAGCACGGCGAGTTGTTGAACAAGCGTTTGGAATACTAGCAGCACGATGGCGATTATTTCATACTGCATTTGGTTGTAATATCCACACAGTTGACAAAGTTATTAAAGCGGCCTGTGTTCCGCATAACTATTTGAGTGAAGATACCGAAATTCAGACTGAAAACAGTATTAACAGTGTGTTGCGTCCTTTGTGACGAGGAGGCAATAGCCCTTCTATTACAGCCTATCAGATAAGAGAAGAATTTTCCAATTATTTTAACGGCAGTGGTAGCGTACCTTGGCAAAATACAAGTGCCCATATAAATGAAAATTAAATAAAGACAAGTTTAATAAGCACGTAAAAATGTTCTTTTATTTCGTTTTTTAAATAATGAGAATGTATCTATTTATTTACAATGTTGTATCTACATACATAGACTTACGATTGTAATCCCATTAGGGGGTAGTCAGAAATCACACTACAACTGTTTCAAATTTAATGTATTGAAACAGTTGCAGTATGATTTCAAAGTAAAGTGAAGTGATCGCGTTAACTCGACGTTCAGTGAAGAGATAAATAATTTCTGTACTGAACGCCGAGTCAACGCGATCACTTCACTTTACTTTGAAACCTATGCTAAGTCCACTGGTAAAAAGAGAGCTGTAATCGATTATTCTAATATAGGTGTACCAATGAATGATGAACCTCGGAATGGTTACATTTTAATTAATTTACAAGTTATAAAACTGAAAATTTAATAAAAAAATTATTTAATAAGTACATATGGAAATCTTTTATACAAAAATAAGTTTATTTAATTAATGATTTTATTGCAACACTAGTAAATTTATTACAATGTAACCACTCCGAGGTTCATCATTCATTGGTACACCTATATCACTCAAATGCTTCTGTTTACCTCGTTCATGATCACGACCTTGAGTTGAGTCTCTGGTTAGTAGCTAACATATCCGGGATTATAACTGTGAGTATATACATACAAAATTGTACCAATACACCAACGATAAGCACACATAAATACACACGCACACACACACTTATTAAGTACTTACTGTTTTCCATCTTTATTGTTTGTATAATGGCGCGCCAGGAGGC